CACCTTCCAACCGCAGCTTATCGAATTCTGCACCAAAGAGATGATCTTCGATCAGCGTGGAACTGGGACTGAACGGTGATGCATCGCCAAACGGGTTCCAGGTTGAATTGGAAACGGGTGACACAAGGGATTTCTCACTATTGGAATTGCTCAAGACGTGATGATGTCGACGATGTTGTGATGATGAAGTCGATGACTTAGAGTGGTGATGTCCAGCAGGGAGCAAAGTTGTCGGACGGGGTCGGGTTGATGACGAAGACGAAGACGGTGGCTCCGGTTCGAACGGCGAAAGCAACGATGCCGGAGAAACGGCAGACGGTTTATCTTTCGGCACGGAGGATTCCACCGGTGGAATCAGTAGGTGTTTGGCATCTGATGGGAAACATCTGCGGGAAGGAAACAGAATACAAGCATTAGGTAAGTTGTACGTGCCGACTATATTATTTTTTCGTGAAATGTACAGAAACAAGAAAGAAACACTTACCTAAAACCCACTTCAGCGATATTTCTCTGTGTTTCTCCGACCGCTACTGACTGGTGTTGGAGATCCATGTTTAACCCGGCTGGACTCCTAGCGCTCTGTTGGGCACATGCCGTAGGAAAATTGTCACTAAAATTGGCAACAAATAAGGCAGCACTTGCCTTCTCCTGCCCGGTCAACTGCCTGACATCGGCTTCAGCTCCCGGAACAGGGGACACCACATTTTTCGGCGATGGATTCAGTGGAGGTGGTCCCAAGTTGAATCCACCGCCAGTACCAGAGTGCTGACCTTTCGGACGGGATCTCGGAGCAACGCTTGTGCTAACACTGAACGGTGCCGATGCTGCCAACCCCACGATTTGGTGATGCTTCCGTTCGTTATGATCTGAATTACTATAGTTGTTGTGGTGGTTGTTGCCCAATGACTGCGATTTTTGACGCTCCCGAGCTATTCGGAGTGGATTATCCTTTCCGGAAATTTTAAATGCAAACTCACAGACTTGGTAGATACTGGGACGCTTCTCGGGATCAGCTTCCAACAGAAAACGAATTAATTGACAAAGTTCCGGAGAATATCTGCACTTTTCTGGAATGTTATACTGACAGTGTAAGATAGCTTTGGAACTTTCTCCGAAGGGTAACGTTCCAAAGCAAAGGCGATACAGTAGACAGCCAAGCGCCCATATGTCGCCCTTGGTAGTAATGCTGTGACCCGAGTTGAGATCAATCATCTCCGGGGCCCGATAGGCTTGAGTGGTGTTCTTTTGGATTTCCTCTTCGACTGCTTTCTTTCCGTGAGCCACCGGGTTGAGAAACCGGGTAGTTGCTGTGCTCGACTCGGACAGGATGAACCGCCCCATATCGTTTTGTACCACATTTTCCACCTTTAGGTCTCGGTAGATGACGGGTGCCTGGCTGCAGTGCAGCTGGGCCAAGGATTCGCACACATCACAGAAAACTTTCAACACTTCATACTCGCTGAAACCCGCCTGTCCGCGACCCTTAATCACGGCAGAAAGTTGATTCTTATGCTGAGGCATGCTGTTTCAGTACTGATTCGCCTGAAACAGGCGTATCCATTGCTTTGTGGAAACGAACGTCGCACTCCCACACTTTCAGTTTGTCAGCACTGCGTTGCAAAGGTTGATATCCTGTAAAAACGAAAGTTTCAGCATATACCAAGATAATTAGGTATGCAGCAAAATTCATATTCTGATCAGCGGTTTGTTTACATTCTCTTACAGGATAATCAAGCGAAAAGGGCCATTAGTGCCAAGACACAATACAAACATGGGAATACCCCAGAGGTACTTTTTGCTGATGCATGAACATTTTTAACTGTGGCTGCAACTATTTCGCAGCAGCTGCAAGTAGAAATTTGCGTGTCTACGACCCCTGAGAATGCACAGCTGATGTTATGCTACGTCAGCGATCATCACCAGCGAAGGAAAATCGTAGTTTTCGTTGTTATTGCAGCCACTTGACTTATTGTTCTAGGTAAGACACTAATCGGTACTTACAGTTGCTTTAAATAAACGCTTTCACACCGGTTGGAAACACTTGCACAACATGAAATACAACGAAATATTCCGCGAGAGTTCCCCGATACTGCTGCAAATTCGATAATCGTATTTTTGTGAGTTTTCACCGCGACTGACAGCGAGAAGGAGAAAGTGACATTCAGTGTTTTGGTTTTCTTTCTGAGGCTTTGGTGTTGGAAAGTCGAATGGTCCTGACACCGCACAGTGTATTGAAAAATTGCGCGAAGACTGAAACCAAAAGTTCCAATCGAACCGTCAAACGCGGTTCCAATCGAGCAATGTAAATAAACACGAGCCCTTCACGAGGAAAAGCATGGGGAGCATTGAGATTGAGGTTGAAATTTAAGGGTTGAGATTTAAATTATCAAAATACGTTTGCGTATGAAAAGTATAAAACATCTCCCGTGTCAGGCTTATTACAATCTTTTACATCATCATAAATTTAATTATATGTTCCCTCGTTAAAATCCGCAACAATTTCAAAAACAGGAACTGCACCCGGAACTGCCACGTATTCATTTTTAAATCCACTTTCATCTAAACGACAAATTCAATTATCAATACGGTAAATTAATTAAGCTACGTAATCGATTTTTCCGTCACGCTTTGACCGAAAGAATTGAAACCGAGATTGAAACCACTTTTGTCTGATGACGCTGTCTTTGGAAAACCAGAAGAAACATACATTTTTTCACGCTTTATTCGGTGTATTTTTACCGAGATTTTTACAGAAAGATACTGCTCATATATAAAATTACCATAAACGAACGATAACCCAAATAATTGAACTATTCCACAAATGGTTTGCATGCGTCGTTAAGCAAAATAACATTTAAAATTTTGTTAGGGCGTGTATTTCAATTGAATTTTTCAAATAATTACCGAAATGTGTTTTCTAAAATACAAATATCTCCGACTGTAATAAAGTTATATCACAGACAAACAGACATAACACATTGAATATTTCTCACTGTAAAAAATCGTCGCTAAAACATTATCGCCATCTGTTGACTACACTGTGGTGGGTAGTACGCTGAACAGATGGCGGTGGTGTGTAAACGTCATACGCAAGGGAATTGACTGTGCGCGCCACAGGTGGCGGTACTACCAACTACGATACTTTTAAATTGACCGTTAAATGCTTGTTCGATGATCTACTTGCGAGAGTTATGTCTGTTTGTCTGTGGTTATATTATTTATTTTAACGCCAAATTAGAGATTATAAAATTTGCTTTCGATCGTTTGAACCCATTTTTCAGTGAGGTTAATGGTACAACTCGTGGTACAATCACTACAAACATTTTTATTTACACTGCTTAAAAATGCAAAATAATAAAAAAAAAAATAAACAAACTATTAATTAACAACAATACCACTAATCTCACTGACAATTGCTGTTCAGTTGATCGAAAGAAAATTTTCTTACTTTTACCTTGGCGTCAAAATAATTGATATCGTCTCATTAAAACCGGAGATATTTGTATTTTAGTTAACAAACTTTTTTAATGTGAAATTTATTTTTTTAGCTGTATCTCAAAAACAAGATCATTTTTTTCTTCTTTTTTGTAGACAAGTGTAATTACAAAAACAATTTTGTATTTCTAGTGCCTGCGCGCAAATGTGTTTTTAGTAGATCAATTGCTACACGGAACCGAATTTTGATCATTTAAATCAAAAATATAAATGTTCATTTTATAAACATATGAATAATTCAAAATAAATTAAGAACATGTTTGCAACAAAAATACTTGTGTTTGAATTAAAGTCAAAAGCATGTTTATTTCAACAATATAGCATTTGGGTAAACGATTTTTAGCGTGCCCTGCCTTTTTTTTCCTTCTTGTAAATATTGCCCCAGCTTTGCCAATCAACTGAAAGTGACCCGCAACAAAACCGATGTCATGGATCCGGAAACCCACCTAGGTAAGTGTCTTAACAAAGTTCCAGCTCAATAAAACCGGAAGAACTCCACAGTATCGACGTCACTCTGTCGTTTCTGATGCCGATCCCTGTATCATCCTCCTCCACAAGTGACGTCGGAAGAAAAACGAAAATCTGAAATGGATTTTGAATCTATTCCGGATCCTCCAGCCACCTCCCCCCTTCTCCAACACCGAGCGTAGAAAGAGGCCGATACGCTATATATCACAAAGTGTCACTGGTTTTACTGAACTGGAACCTCCGGACACTCACCTCGACGGGTCCCCACACCTCGGACCATGACACATCCACAGCCCACCTTTAATCACATCCGAAAAAGAGGAGGAGTTTAGATGCCCTGTCTGCAGATCCTTTTTTTGGTTTATCCTAGCAACATTCAAATGCTAATATAATTTAAAATTAAGTATGTTTCTTTCAAACATAAGAAGCATGTTTAAAATAAACATATTAATTTTTGTACGCATAGCTGTCAAACCAAACAAAAATATTCATGTTATGTTTAACACAAATATTTTTAAAATAAACGTAACAATATTTTTATTTTAAACATTAATATAACATGACTTCAAACATGGGATACGTTTGAAATAAACCTTGTTATTTTTTATGGCCAGAACAAACTGAGTTTACGTTTAAATTTACCTCAATTATTTTTGTTTTAACGATAAATTTTTCTGCGTGTAGAACCTGCACCTTAAAATTTGCGTTACAGTTTGTAACAAAATTTCAGCATCCCTGCATTCCCTTCCACGTTTCGTAATATTTTAACGGACCCTTATTTCATTGTTTTACCCGTTTTACCGTTATCGTTATTTTTTTTGAAGATTTTTTGAATTTAATGAGAAGAGAGCTCACTGTGAAGTCGATTGAACGATTTGTATTCCTTTCGAACATAAATCTAATACCGATTTCGGAAAAAAAAAATCAGAGCCAAAAAACAAGAAGCATGACAACTACTCGTACCACTCGTACCGCTCGTATCATGCTAATTCAAATTTCTCTGAATAAAATATTATTCTTTGTGGTTGTCTTTGCAGACGGCTAAGACCATAGTTTGGTCCATCTCGCCATAAATTATTCTTTAAGGCTTGTAATTTTGTCATAAATTAAATTAAGGACATTTAACAATGAATTCATTCAAATGTGTTTGTAACTGTGACTCGGAACCGCGTTTTATATTGAATGGATTGCACGACTCGACAGAGTCAACCCAACTGGACAAAGCCCTCGATCAACTGGTCGATTCGGCTTGGGGAGACGAAGATGAGGAAGCTGATGAAATACTTGTAAGTTTTATAGTCGTGATATGCATTTTCTGAGACATTTTTCTTGAATTGGAAAAATTGCATCAAATTTAGGCATGCTTCATAGGAAACCTCAAGAAAGGAAACTACACCCATTCGGAAAATGACTTCGAGGATGTCTTTAGCAGTAACAAAGGACTCAGTCCGAATGCGATCCTAACAAGTTTAACATACGATGGAGGATCCTGCCACTGTCGTCAAGTGTCTCACAGGATTTCTATTGCGCTAAACTGGGGTCTTGCCGAATTGCACTGCAGGAGCCAACCGAACGAGCTGCGTCTCTTGGAAGTTCTTGAATTGGTGGAGCCCTTTGCAGGAATGTCCGTTAACGAGAAAGGCTGGCAATCTTTTCTTCAGCAATTGTGGAAGTTCAGTATCGAGTCAGGTAAAAGGAAATTAACGGCTAAAATGGTATCGATCTACCCAGACGAGATTAATCGTTTACTGGAAAAGGTGTTGAGTTCTGATGTCATTGATGGTGAATCATTTCTGGATAATTCGGATTTCAATAGTATAATTTCCATTATAACTCTGCCGGAGGTGTTTAGACATGTAAGCTTATATTTAGCACAGAGAAACTCAGTCTGTTCAGTTCAGGTTCAAATCTTGCTAAATGCAATCCTGAAAGCATTGAAGTCAAGTTTACCAAAAAGTCGTTTGTTAGCTCTTTATTCCGATAAGCTAAGTTCAATCGCGGTAATACTGCATGAAACTATTAATCCAGATGATCCGTTAGTGGCGAATCTGCTTGACCGGGTCAAGGAGGAATGCTGTCTAGATTTCCTTATTCTTGTTACACACTTTCCAATTTTTTCACATATGAAATAACATTTCTTCGTTGCGTGATTTATTTTCCAAAGAAATCCCTATTTTCATTCAAAAATTATAAATCTCTCGTTCAATAAGTTGAATCCATGGTGCCAGTCGCTTATTGATTCGTTTCAGTCTTAAATTACAACCGATTAGTTCCCTGGCTTGCTCCACTCGTTCACATCCCTGAACATCCAGAATAGGTATGTAGTTGTTCGCCATTGATTGTTTTGCTTCTTGTATTCGATTGGCTGTATCTGCAACATTCATATTCTGGCGCTTTGCATCATCCTGCAAATCCAACAGGTAGCATATCAAATCTTTGGAACTGTTGAATGAAGAGTCACTTGGACCACGTAGCTGTACAGACCCATAGATTCGTACGCAACAGTTTCGAGGGACTTGGCCGAAGTAGTTGTCGAAGCACAACTGCAGACTCCAGCTGCTATCGGGTATTTGAAGTTCCCTAAAGTTGAATTGAGGGTTGTTGAGAAAAAGCAGGCGTTGGTCGTGGCAATTCTCTCTATGGTACTTACTGTGACAAACCGGGTACCATTAAAGATTCCAAGCAGTTGCTACGTTCTCGAAGATATCCGATTATGGCACATTTTCCGTAGTGTACTGATGTAGGATGACTTGCTAGGGTAACTTCTTCGACCAGAAGTGGCTCGTAGTGTTCACAGAATGATGGTATTTCTAGAACTGTTTGTTCTTGATGATCTGATGTTTCCATTTCTAGTTACAGAATGGTCTTAAATCTAAGCTCCGCCTCACGCTCTCTCGTAAATGTGACTTAAAGAGTACCTCAGCCCAGTGGCAGGCGCGTAGGCCAATGAGCTGGATTACCGAGGTGGAGCAGTCGGTTAAGTTGTGTGAGTAAAACCCCTGTATGATACATGCAATTAGTGACGTCACTACTTGCGTTTAGGTTGATTTTTTGGATTACTAAACAACCATATTTCACGATCTGCTTCACCTCTCTCGCGTAGGCAACATGTCATACAGTGACAGCGGGCCCAGCACAGCAAAATAAATTATTTGAAACCGGGACATGCTGCCTACTGTCAAACGCTGCTGTTAGTATCTGGGGGGGGGGGGACGGACGTACTGTCAAATCAGCCTACACGGTGTTTCGCGAAAACCCATTAATGGGTATAAAAATACCCATTTCCGCTAAAAGTGCCCCTCCTCATTTAATAGGTAAACTATGGTTTACTCATAAATGGGTAAATGGGTGGTCTGTCAATAAATGGGTGTTTTTTCACCCATTTTCTTATATTGTGTTTACCGTAAAATGGGTGAAAAAATACCCATTTTTACAAATGGAGGATGCAAGCGCTCGTTGATGTAAAAATGTTTTTAAAACATTGAAAATAAATGCAGGTGTTCCGCTCAAATTTTTCACGAAACATTATAATACAAATTATCCATTGTATTGACTTATCCGTAAGCCTCTCCAACGTTTTGGATTCTAATATTTTCCGGAGATCGTTGCTGCGGACAGTAACTGTTTGCATCGTGGTTTGCATTCCCAATGACGGAAATGAGACGATAAAATTTCGAAGTGTTTTTTCACCCATTATTGGGTAAAAAATATACCCATTATTCAACCGTGAACTGATTCTTTAAATGGGTATTTTTTCACCCATTTTATGATTTCAAAATTCCCCCATTTTTTGACAGCTGCATACATGGTTTGAAAATGGGTATTTTTTTACCCATTAATGGGTTTTCACGAAACACCGTGTACTGATCATCTTGTATGAAACTGGTTCCAAACGTAAACAAACGCTGTACACAGAAATTCAAAACAACCCAAAATTAAGTTCTTTTCACTCATCTCCCATGTTCCGTACGATAAGCCAAATTTGGGTAAACCGGCTCAAAGTAGTTTGCATTCAAGCACGGCAAAAAAAATTACCCATCGCTAAGTTATTTTCAATTTTTTCTACCCAAAATTAAGTTCAATTAACTCAAATTTGGGTATATCGCATATTGCTCAATTTTGACTTCTCGTACGGAACTAGACGGTTGAGTCGAATCTTTCGTTCTATTTTTGACAACAATAGCGAGAGGAAATGAAACGGGCAGAGGTCAAATAACTCAAATTTGAGTTTAAAAAACTCAAGCGGTGGGTAGTTTTGTTTTTCTGTGTAAGTTTCTTATGGCTTGTTTACGTTTGGAACCAGTTATGCGAGGTAGGCGACGATTGTTCGTATTTGACAGCCACCTCCCCCTCCTTGGTTAGTATAGGCCTTGTCACTGGCCTGGAGTACCTAAATAGTCTATGATGAGACTAGACCCTACCCCCCCCCCCCCCCCGCGACCTCCTCGCCTATATAGTGACTAAAGAGCCTGAATTTATAAAGAGACGACATGTCAAAATTGGAACAATCGATTGTCTGTCAAAGTCATAGGAAAAGTCATCCCGCATAAACGCGAACCATAAATTGACCTTACCTAAAATGGTTAAAAATTGTTTATAATCCCTGCTAAACTTTAACTGAAATGGTTATGGAACTTTACATGAACGTTTAATGATAAAGTTTCAACCTTATGTATTATGGTTTTTTGAAAATGGACCTTACACAGCAAAAAAAAATGTAATATCGATCAATGTAATTCAAGCTGATGTATGAAATAATGATGTAATAGCAAAAAGCAGATACAATATTACATCAATGGATGTAATTTTGTTCGCAAAATCGATGTACATCGTACAACGTTATATTACACAACCGATGGATTGACCTGGTTGCAGCAGTTTGGATGTAATATTCAACAACTTTTTTTTCTGTGTACAAATAATGGGTTGTTAAGAACCATTACCATTCCAAATTCTTGTTTTCTCCATACATTTTCAGAAAGAGAACTATATAAGAACGTTTTTACTTATGATTTGAGAACATTAATGGTAATGGTTATGGTAGTCAGTAAGGTCCATTAATGGTTTTGTATTATCGCTCAACTTTACGTGGAATATATCGTGAATTGGTAATCAGTAAATTACAGGCAACCAATTCGCGATATATTCCACATAAAGTTGATCGATGTTACAAAACCATTCGTGGACCTTACTGACTACCATAACCATTACCATTAAAGTTCTCAAACCATAAGTTAAAAGGTTCTAATATAGTTCTCTTTCCGAAAATGTATGGAGAAAACAAGAATTTGGAACGGTAATGGTTCTTAACAACCCATTATTTGTAAGGTCCAGTTCCAAAAAACCATAATACATAAGGTTGAAACTTTATCATTAAACGTTCATGTAAAGTTCCATAACCATTTCAGTTGAAGTTTAGCAGGGATTATAAACAATTTTTAACCATTTTAGGTAAGGTCAATTTATGGTTCACGTTTATGCGGGATTCCAATCGAGCAGAAGACCTGTCAAATGGATAAGATGTCGCCTCTTTATAAATTCAGACTCTTCAATAGTGACAAAGCTGTATCACCATTTATATACCCACCATGGACCCTACTAGAGTCGGTGTATAATGAGTCACGCCAAGAGTGAAGCCAAGTCTACCTATTGAACTGTCAAACTGGCTACCTATTGAGCAAAGTAAACAAACATTACGATGCTATGAAAGGTTTACGAAAGGTATTGCAATAAAATGTAAAATATAATCGAAATGATCATAAATACGCAGTGAGCATTAACTTGTCATGGGATACGTTTAGTAATGACCAGTAATGAGAATTTCTACTATTTTTTGTTAAGATAATTTGACAAAATAACTGATATAATGATTTACTACAGCCGCTATTTTTATTTATGGCTAGAAGACTTCGTCATTTGAAGTTGATGTAGAAGTCCTCTGTTGCCAAGTGAAAAGAAAGGGAATCTTTCGAAAACCGTGATGTGAGTTAGGTTAAACTGTTTTTCTCTTGGTGTGACTCATTATACACCGACTCTAGACCCTACATTCTAAATCTCAATCAAAAGTTGGCCCTGTTGGCGAAAATAAGAACTATCGATTGATGGTTTCAAAATTCCTTCAGGTGAGGTCGTATGAGAATACCGTGGACCCCCGCTAATCTGAATGACATTTTATTCATACTAACAGCACAAACGAAGTGACAGACGACTAACTGGCGAAGAAATCCATTTAAATAATGTGGTTCACTGTAATAGAATTTTTTTGGAAGCTTGTGCCATCATCCACCAGATGGGTTAGTTTTTTTGTTTTGATTTGAACAAAGTTGATTTTGTGTACAATGATTCTTTGACAGTGTGCAAAGAGTGCGTATCATTTTGTCATTTTTTTATGCATTTCAGTTTTGAGTATAGTGAAAGAGATAGAACCAAAACATTCTAGTACATTTGGTGAAAATGCTAGTTCAATCTGGTAGTAGTGTTGCCATGTGGTACAATCCAGTAGTAGTGGTGTTGCCATGTGGTACACTGAAAAATTGCAATAGCAGGTTAGTCACCAAAGTTTTCGAGCCGCTCCGTCTGTCACTTCGTTTGTGCTAACAGGGTTAATTTTTAATTTGATCTTCTAGTTACCCTATGAGCATAAGAAAATCGATTTTCTGGTAACCTTATTTGCTGTTTTGATTCTGCGTTCTGTTTCATAATGTTCCATTTCGCTTTACTCTGTTCCATGACCTAATTGACGTTTGAACCAGTTTTAGTTTGCACGGCGTGCAGTGTTCAGAGTAAAAACGGACAGATTGCCGGGGGTCCACGGTAATTCTAATAATATTTTTTTAATTATTCTTAAAATGCTTTAATAGAGAGCTGCACCGTCGCTTTAACCTCACATTTTTTGACATCTGGCAGTGGTTTGTTTACATGGACTAAGAAAAAATTTAAAAAAAGGTATTAAATGTTTTTTTTTTAGATTTTTTGAAGTGGAATATTTTTGAAAGGAACATAGTCGGATATCATATGTTTTAGTTCTTTATATTTAAAACCTAAAATCCACTTGAATTGCCTAAAAAGCATAGGTAAACAAACCACCACTGGATGTCAAACTGATGAATGCAGGTTCATCGCGTTCATTCGTGACGTCAGCGTGCAGCATCTTATGGTTGGTTGGTTGCTCAGCCTAGAAAATTAACAAAACAAACAGGTAAAACAATGATGAATCTAGCATGTGTGAGAAATCGGCGACTGACGTGTTATACCCCGTTCACACTACAACCTATATTACGTGATATAGCCTATCTTGATATCAGCATCCATACATCTAGTTTTCACTGGAAATAATATGTATGACGTTTGATATCAAGAAATTCTATATCAAGTAATATAGGCTGTAGTGTGAACGGGGTATTAGTTTATAAAAGCAATTCTAGACCAACAATCGAAATAGACGAACAACCAAACGTAAACAATGGCTTTAATCGCAAATTTCTGGAGAATCAAAATACACCCATGCAAATTAACAATACTATTCGATAAAGGAAGCTTGCTCTATCAGATGGTGGTGTTAGATTGCGTGGATGTGTTTTGATTCCCGAGAAATTTGCGATTAAAGCCATTGTTTACGTTTGGTTGTTTCGCCTATTTCAATTGTTGGTCTAGAATTACGCCCAAATCTCGAAGTTCTCCGAAGATAACGAATGGGTGAAAATGGTAATGACGTTTTGATATCTGTCAAATTGTATGAATTTTTTTTTTTTAGTATAGTATCAGATATTATCATCATTTTTGTAATTGCGGATCTTAAAACTAGGTGTCGCATGATCAGTAACCGTTTTGGCTTTGCTTTGATTCGCCAATTAATCATTTTTTGTTGTTTTTGACATCATCCACATCCAGAGGGCCATTCACTTTCGAATGTATGGGAATGGTAGGAAACCATTTGGAAATGCTTGAAAATTTTCAGTTTTTATTCATTATCGTCTTTATGGGCAGTTTTAGATGCACAAAAATTGCACGAGTACATTACTATGGGGATAAGGTAAACGCTCGTTTATTTGTTTCCTTCTGTGAAAGCATGTTTAGTCACAAATCGTGGATTTTCTGATATTCTCCATACTGCAAAAATGATTTTCCTACCACTGAAGGGGTGACATCTCTCGGATCTTCAGTATAGCTACTACTCAAATCATATAATTAATTGGCGTCTTGCAGTGAAACTTTTCCAAGCTTTCGCCACCTACATTTCGAAGTGAGAACTACTAGAAGGAGGATAGTTTCCAAATTCTCCAAGTAAAACAGACGATTTTTGGGGCAATTCGGCACATAAAGAAAAACTAATAATTTCCGGTGGAAAGTTTTGCTTGAATCGTGTAAGAAAACGTGTTTGCAAACTAAATGTTATTATTTCGGTATGGATCGGAGATGTTTCCATGGAAAATTATGCATAACAAGTTTGCACCCAGAGGTAGAGGTTACCTACTGCGCAGAAAATGGTGAATATGTCGAGGAATATGTGCGATTTCCACTAGGATGAAAGTGGAAATTAAGTGAATTTACTTAGGAAAGATTGTATCATGCTGGTGATAATAGAGAAATGGTTGTATAGGACGCCAATATTCAAAATGTTCATTTTATCCTTTTTTAGGAAAACATTAATACTCACAATTTTCGACAGAAAACGCAACGGAACTTGATATACTCAATACGCACCATACTATAAAATGATGCTCGATGGTTTTTAAAGTGATAACAAGAAAACAAATCATGTTTATTTTGAGTAATTGAGCAATTTACTTCTGTTTACATCTTATGTACGATGCAGCATTGATGGAGCTGTGAAATGAAATGAATATATCTTATGAAAGTTCATCTGGAAAAGTCAAAGATGCTCATCAGTCTGATCGTGAAAACATTTTCTCCTTCAATTCGAATGTTATATTGGAAGGATTTTACGCAGGCTTGATGAAAATTATGATTTAATGCTAATTTTCACGAATTTTATATGCAGTCTGTCAACATTATCATCATCATGCAGTGGCGACATCTGCGACGAGCTTTTACGGTAATCTCTCAATCATCATTAAACATATTTTTGTTTACCTTTTTGCGCGCCAATCATCGATGTATTTGCGTCGTCAGTCGAACGTACAACTTAATCGCAAAGTTTGCATTTGACCCCCTCATGATGGTGTATATTAACATCGACTCTGGTGTAATCAGTGTAGTTTCGACCAAAAATGTGAAACCCGTGAATATTATAGTCGCTATATTCATAGTCTTGCGGATAGAATTTCGATTTACCAAAAAGCGGAACCAATTAAATATATTGTAGACCAACAATTGAAGAGGTACTATCAAATTTTAAAAACAAAACGTTGATTATTCTTTCCTCGTTAATCGAACGCAAATTACCAGCATCATCGGATAGGGGATACTTTACCCAATCCAAAGATGGTATTAATTTGCGTAGGCGAGTCTTGAGTCACGAGAAAAAGAGTTCCGAAGTTTTGTTGGCAAATAGCTGATATGCTCTTTTCTGTTCTTGGTCGTGATTTGCTCGATTGGTTCCGCTATTTGACAGCTCAATTGGTTCCCGTTCTATCCGCCAGACTATGAATATAGCGACTATAGTGAATATGGGTTTCGCACACCAGCTGTCAAAATAGAAAACCGTTCAAAATATCGACATTCTATTCTATCATCACAAACACAATCCAATCTACAATAATTATTTTGCTGTTCATTCCATTCCAGTTTTTGTGTGTGATTTATTTGTGAAAAACAACTAGTATGTCGCAAGATCTTGAACGGCGCGAAGCTATCGTTCAAACCTGCATATCTGACCTGATAACAACGCTCACTGGATTCGATGTAAGAGAACAAAACAACTACCTACTACCTCTGAATCTCAAAATAAGTTTTTTTTTAAACTCTAGGAAACGGAAGAAAACTTCACCCTCTGCTATCAGTTTGCGCAGGCCACCATCCGGAATCACCGGTTCCTATCGGTAAACAGCCACGAGATTCGTCGTAAAGCCGATGGACTGATGGAAAACTTGCGGATATCAAATCTGGACCGGTTTGCCGAACGGTTCCGCCAGTTGTACGAAGGTTTCATTGCGGAACCGGTTTGTGCAGACCATTATGTGCATGATATTCAATGGTCAGTGCTGTTGTTTCTGATGACGGTGGCCCACAATCCAATTGGAGCGTTGCGGGAGAGGATAAGGAGAGGCTCACCGGTGACAATGATAGAAGCGAAACCGTTTGAATCTGTGCCTATACCGGATAACGAGAAGGAGGAGTTGCTGGAAGACCTCAAAGCCGATAATATTGCCTTTGAAGATGGAAACGAGCATGATGGTTCCGATCTTAGCGAGTGGTCAGATTCGGAGGAGGACGAAGAGGAGAATAAGATAGTTGAGGTAGAGGAAAGTAGGAAGGAGGTTGTCGTTTATAGGAAAGTGGAATCTCCGCAGCGAGACTTGGGATATGAAAGTTTCGATGGATCTTTGTCGGAGCAATGGCTCAAGAAGCACATTCAGACGTGTTGGTGGAAAGATCCGAAGGCCAAAGCGGAAGTCAACAGCTCTCACGAAGGGGCATCGTTTTGCGACTACTGGAATCAGACTATTCTGAAAGCCTCGTACAGTTTCATTAAACCGGATCCAGTTTCAACCGTTTCGGAATACTGTCTAATTCGGGAGATTTTTTGGATGTTTACGAATCCAACCAATTGCAAGTTCTTCCGCATTGACGACGATCAAATCTGGATCAATCCCAGTGTATCGCTGTCTAGTGCTACCGAACGTGGTTTGCATACCTTCCTGATGAATTTCACCCAAAATATGACGATCGTCTACCGTCTCCGTAACTTTTGTCGTCGAGTTTCGGAAGCGACGAGCAATCCCATTCCTGCTCCGTATAGCTTCGAGTGCTACGCATCCGGTATTCGCGACTTCCTGGATCACTTGGAAGCTACAATTGTCGGGTTGGAAAAGGAAGCCGTCGCCCAAGAACCCGATCGAATCTACACCATCATAACGCTGTTCCACGATCTGGAACCGGAATTCCAACTGTTGGCGAATCTTAACGATATCCATCGCTTCTCGGTGCTCGATTGGACCAAATTCCCCGCGCACATCGCCGTTGCGCATCTTTTGTCGGGACTCTTCAGGAGCGTTAAGCTGAGTGGTAGTCTGGAAAAGACAAACCTTGCTTTTGCATTGCTCCTATCGACTCTCAAGGGCTACATGAATATTATCGACACTTGGTGGACCGAAGGCAGGTTGGACGACTGGCGGGAAGAGTTCGTAGTGGAGAGAACCTACGCATTGGAAGGCGGTAGTATGACCGGTTATCGGGCTCGGTTGTTTTCCAAGTGCAAGAAACGGTCGTTCTACGTTAGTTCGGTCATTTCGGAGGTAATTGAAAATGATGCCATCATAAAGTTGCTGATGCATCATTCACTTGAGGCGGGCTATACGTTGAACATTTTGAACGATCTGGATAGGATCAGTGATCTGAGGAGTGGGAGTGATTCGGAGGAACCGATGGTGTATGTGGGATTCTTGGAAGCGATTGTGGACGTGCTGGAGGGTTTCAGGACGACAGATGGCGAAGTCGTCGCAACGGATCAGGACGGCGAGAGACAAGCCCAGAAAATGATGAAGGTGAGTGAACTGACCGTAATTATGTCTGTTTGGATTCGTAGGATTCGTGGTCGTGCGGTTAGCTGCATCATCCGTCGTTCTGGCGTGTTGTGTGTGTGTGTGTGTGTGTGTGTGTGTGTGTGTGTGTGTGTGTGTGTGTGTGTGTGTGTGTGTGTGTGTGTGTGTGTGTGTGTGTGTGTGTGTATGTATGTATGTATGTATGTGTGTGTGTGTGTGTGTGTGTGTGTGTGTGTGTGTGTGTGTGTGTGTGTGTGTGTGTGTGTGTGTGTGTGTGTGTGTGTGTGTGTCTGTGTCTGTCTGTGTGTGTGTGTGTGTGTGTGTGTGTGTGTGTGTGTGTGTGTGTGTGTGTGTGTGTGTGTGTGTGTGTGTGTGTGTATGTGTGTGTGTGTGTGTGTGTGTGTGTATGTGTGTGTGCGTGTGTGTGTGTGTGTGTGAGAGAGAGAGAGTGTCACGGAATGAGGGTTCGTCAATTAGAGACGATCTCCTACATCTGTATTTCTTTCTTCTTAATTCGTTTTTCCGTCGATCTTGTTTTCCGTGCTGAGCACCAATGCAACCGACGCCAGGGAGGCAGTTCCCACACCTGGACCCTACCTCATGAACCATGGACCAACGGCTTTGTTATGTTATGCCTTATAAGCAGTCCCGCAACTTTTGTTCAGACTTTTGGAGCAGTTTGAAGATCTATAAATCGAGAACCCTTAAGATGTTTCGATAGTTTTAGAGAAGTACAGAGACCTTCAGATAATTTATGAAAATTTATTTCTCAATTATTAAGAACTGGGAAACGTGATTTTGGGTGAAATAAGCGGCAATTGATTGGCAAGATGTGACTGGCACTCATAAAATAAATCACATAAAACCAGTGGAAAATATCCATGTGGATCTCCCATAACACATGTGATCCCATAATTCAAAATTGTTCCACTAAATCACATGTGTCCAATGAAAGCTATATGATTACTCACATGGAATGTATGATGTTATGTGATATTTAAATAAAAAATCATTAATTTTGCTAAGGCTGAATTTATCCACCTATGGTGAGATTTGACCCTTTTTACGTATTTTATTCCTGGTTAAATTGCTCAATTCTGCATTCAGGGAAGAAAAGGAAAATTATGTCTGATATGTGGGTTTGCGTCTGATTTTTCATGTGCTGGCTCATAGCAGATTTTGACCAGAGAGCACACTCGAAACATGCCTTGGTGTGACCAATACGACTTCCGGTGCTCGATTTCGCCACAAATGGTCATATGGTTGTGATTTATTTTACGTCAGATTCAGGCCAATTTCCATGTGCATGTTTGGCCGATGTGGTTGATCCCTGATACAGGGCTGGTAGCAGGTCACTATTTTGAAGCCAGTCACTAAAAAGTCACTTTTTACTCCAAAAAGTCACTAAAGTAACTTTTTCACTACTAAAATAGAGCGAAATTTAAAAATATCAACAAAATGTTTAAATTTAGTACTTGACACTAAGAAAGTCTACAGTAGTTTTAAACAAAAATATATATATCTGTTAAAACATTGAAAATTTTAACCAGGGACCAGTGAACCGCAAAACTTTAGAACACCAGGAAAACGTTTAGGAAATGCTTTCAATTTATATTAAAAATTGGGGAAAATATACCTCCCTTTCCCAGAAAATAAATTGTAAACCTTGGAAACTTTCCAAAGGTATTTGTCTGTGATAGATTTTCAAAAGTTTTTAAAAAAATCCAAAGTAAATTTTAAGAGAATTTTAAAGGATTCTACGGATTACATCAGAGATGAATACCAAAGTACAGACTACGAAAGTCTCATGTAAAATTAAGTGCTCTGAGGACCGATTTCTTCATCTCCGCTTAAATCTTAAGCCAGGTTTATCTATATAGTTAAATTTGGCTTAACACATACGACCGTCGCTTTTGATTATTGTTTAAATTATTAGAGACGCAAAATTCAGCTCCAAAACAATTTTGGAAATAATTCCAATATAATTGAGAGTGCATTTTAACGAGAGTTCAGAGAAGAATTCCATGATGATTGGATGAGGATTCTAGGTCCAATTCTAATAAGGATTCAACATTAGTTCTGAAATTTTACTTAAAGGAGCTCTGATGAAAATTCCATGAAAATCCCGTGAACTCCAAAGATGGTCTCTGTGGATATAGTTCTAAAAGAATTCTGGGGTGATTTCTGAAGATACTTCCAAGATAATTCTAAAGAGTTCAAAATAAATTCCCAGAAGAATTCCAATGGAATCGAATTTTGAGGGTTCGATCGCAAAAGAATTCTGAGAAGAGTTCCAAAGATATTCTGTGATGGATTTTTGGTTTTGAGAATTATGAGGAAATACTATGGGAGTTCTAAGGAGAATTCCAATTAAATGCAAGGGAGAAGTCCAAGATTATTGTCTAAGCAGAAATTAATGAAATTTCTGAGGTTAATTGCATTGAAGTTCTAAGGAGGATTCAAATAAATTTATAATGGATTTATAGAAGAAAAAATCGAAAATAATCTAATTTAACTAATGATGTGTCATAACTTCATGCGTGAATTTAACGATTTACATGGTTGGAGATGCTTAACGTCAAATATCATACTCAAAGAGGAGATTTTATACGATAGATGAGCAGATTAAATTTGAGAGTTGATAGTTCCGTTATAGCATGGCAGTGTGAAAATTGTAAAAAATTGAACAATTTTGAGGAAGGTACGAATCGGGTAGTTGTTTACGTCAGATGGAGACTTGAGTGTGAAACAATCGATAGAACTGTTTCCGCACATCGAAGGTACATGAACAAATCGGCAATCATCCCTTTTGCGAGTGGTGGCAGGGAAAACACCCCTCACCATCCATCATTAACGGATGAGCTCCATGACATAAAAAGTTTATTTCAATATCAAACCGTGTTTGAATTTCTAATTTACCATATAAATGGTTACTTATTTAGTATTTACAAGTCACTATTTGGTCACTATTTCCATAATTTTAGTCACTAAACTCACTACTATTATACCGCATCAGCACTACCAGCCTTGCTGATACTAAAAATAATCGCCAAAAATGTTAATAATAAATTCGCATGTAGTTTGATGTGGGTCTGTAAACTCAAAATTACCGTCACAGATCTTATTCTTTAGTTCTCATGTGGTTGATGGGTTTTGGCCCTTGAAAGGAACTGAAAACTACCCAAGGTGCGTCAGGAACATGCCAGGATAGGGCAGCACGTTCATAAACTACGTGGACAGTTTTTGAAAGATTTCAGACCCCCGCCCTCCGCGTGGACAATCTTTCAAACATTTTTTTTTAATTTCTATAGACCATAGACATTCACCAAACCTAAGGTGTCTACGTACGTGGTTTACGAACAGCCCCTAACTTGGTGTACCTCGCAGCTCATAACTGACAATAGTCGCTAATGCGTTTGATAATTATTATGCGATTGTTTACTTAAAATGTTTCGTTATCTGTTTTTATTAGTAGAATGTCCTGGTTCTGCGAGTTTCTTTATTTACTTATTGTTCATCAAAGGCCAATTTCTTCAACTAAGGAGAATACACAAATGGTCGTTGTCATGAATTTGGCTCCGGCTGAAAATCTTGTTAATAGAAAGAAGAAATAGGATTTGCTTTGTAAAATCAGCTATGATAGTGGCCATTTATGGATTATATCAATCTTGTCCTCAAGCCAGGTTTAACCATAAGGGTAAACCTGGTTTATGATTATAATATCAATAACCGGCAGTGGAACTTGTTGGATATTCATTGGCATTTTTTAACGCTTCCTTACAGGAAACTGCTACAACCTCAAAGCTGCAGAATCTTCGAAATCAAATCAAAGAAATCTGCGACGATGAACTGCTGATGCTGGCATTGGACAGTTCGTTGCAACTTGCATGCACCGACGACGAAGACGAAGAAACCAACCTTCCGGCGGTACCCTCAAGCAACTGCCTCACCAACGCTTATTCACTGTACCGTCGTCTGAATTCAATTTCCGGTCAATTAACGCTCCCACTAGAACACGTACTGTTCAGTGCCATAAAGAATCTCATGGAAACGAAACGCCAAGCTGCGAACCACTTCGTTACCACAATTTACAAGGAGGAGTTCCTGGTTCTGAACCACTTGAAGAACATCCGGAAGGTGCTGCTCTTGGAAGCGAGCGATCTTATGTATTACTTCTATAGTGACCTGTACCGGCGAATCGAAGCAGGTGAGAATTGGGCCAACCCCTATCTGCTGACCATCCAGTTGAACGACATCCTGGCATCCAGATTTACCGATATGACGTCCCTCTTCACGATCGAAATCGTATCGGAGTACAAATGCGAAACGACCACCGTGTTGGATGCGATCAATAAGCTGCGGATTTTGTACAACCCGAGCGACGATCTGAGCAACATGATCAACGAAGAAACGATGAGCAGTTACAATTGTGTGTTCCGATTTCTGCTGAAGGTGAAATGGGCTTTGCATACGTTGGAATCGTTGCGATTTCCCGAGTGTTACAAAAAGCGACCACCATACGAGGAACCCTGTGTACTGGATTTAAATCTGAAACGATTAGCGATGTTGAAGTTCTGGATGATCTTCACTGTCCAAAGCATCCATTCGCATTTGATGACGCATGTACTGCAATCGCTGGGAATGCAACTCGACGAGCGACTGGAAGCTGCCGATAATCTAAACGATATGATTGCCGTCCACCAATCGTACATTAGCACAATCTACGAGCATTGCTTTCAGACAGAGGAAAGCAAAGTGTTCCGGGAAGGCGTCATCCGACTGCTGAATCTGGTTCATATTGTGCGTGACGAGTGGAGCAATAATGTCCTCTATGCGGAAATGGACGCTCGAGGGGATATCGATGACAATAGCATGATAGGGGACTTCATCAGCAATGCCCAAGTCGGTATGCTGGAGAAAACGTACTGCAAATGTCACCACCAGTTGGCGGAGCAACTCAATAGAGACGTTTACACGAAACACAAAGTACACCGTAAGTAGTATCCATTAGATAACCAATTGAGATGCAATTATTGATAATTATTTGCTTTCCAGTCACGGCGTTGGAAGACGCACTGAGCTCCAATGTTCCTTATTAAACTAAGTGGAATTGCTCGGCTTTCTCAAACAGAACAACCACAACCTAATCGATAGTGTTGTCACCAAGTTTACTGTTTCCGGATTCGGTAAGCACAGTTGATTATGATTAATACTCTTCCCTTAAATGCAAATACCTATACCCACGGGTCGTTTGTTTAGTGCGTGGAAAAAATGAGAACATCCCAGCTTCTCCATCCAGCTTAGTACTGCAAACTACGCTTCGTGCCAATATCGTCAAGAATTTGCCTCAGCTCTTCGTCTTCGAAGCGTCCCTCCAGCGAAGGAATGAGTGCTTTTGCCTCTTCCGGAGCTTCCGGGCAAAGGTTCCCCAATGCTGCAAGTTCGAATTTGTGAAGTTTCTTCGACATTAGTAAACTAAAAGCGCAACAAAAAACTCATTACCAAAGTCATCTAGAGATGGAGTGTGAAGGAACATACCTTCGAACGCTGGCAATCGTCTCTTTGTTTTTAAATTTCCGGAACATACCGGTGTAGTTGTAGGTTTTGAGGAACACCTCTGAAAATTCCTGCTCTTCCTCGGAGGATTCGTTTTGATTCTTGCGGTGCTCCAGCAGCATGTGAACTTCACTGATCAGCAAGGTTTCGGCATTTTCAAATTCTAGGTAAATATAGCGAGAAACATCGAGTTTTTTGGTGAACCGGAACACACATCTTGCTCATCAATCGAAATTCTTACCTTTGGGAAACTGCAAATCAGCGGCGTCCTCCTCCACAAGATCAACTGGATTGTAACCGGCCATAGCTATATGTTACTCACTATTCACCGGGCTACAAACTAAATGTTTATCTGGTATACCTGGCAAATTAAGAAAATGCGATTTCCGGATGCGGAATGCTGATGCGACCGAAAATGAGCGGACTCAAAATATTGAGTTGAGATTGACGTTTCTCACTGCTTCTTGTTTTTTTTTTCGCTGTTGCATTTTGATTGCAGCAGTGCGAACATTCAGCCATGTATACACACTCGAAATAATCTACACTCAAAAATAATACTGATTGAGGATAGATAAAACTTAAATCTTTATTGTATTTAGCTGTGTTTATGTTCGTATTTGACAGCCACGTCCCCCCTTGGATCCAAGAGAGGTTTTTCATTGGAACTGACAGCTAGAAATCAAGAGTGTGTGAGTGATCTGGTGTTAATGGTGCTGAATGTTAACATAAACAAAGCAGAAATTAATATGAGAGTGAAAGTTCTACTGTGATCTGTCAAAAGTTCTTGGTAAACAAAAAAGTCAGCTGATCGCAACTGGTTCGTGGACAGCCTTATAAAATTGTTATGGTTATTTTGCTTAACGACGTGTTCGGGGTATAATCCAAACCATTTGTGGAATAGTTATATTATTTGGGTTATCGTTCGTTTGTGGTATTTTTTATTAGGGTAGCTTCCCGTAAATAAAATCAAATAAAAATACAATGATTTTCATTGTCATTGTAACCACCAACAATCAATTTGTGCTGATTAAAGGCTGAATAAGCAATTTTTTAGCTGAAGAAGCGAATATTTTTGTCTGAATAATCTATTATTTTGAATTCAATGTTTGTTGGGCATGATATTTACTGTCAAAACATTGAACCTTTTTGTCCATTACCATAAAATAATAACGAAATTCATGGTTCACAGCAATGAAAATCATGGTATTTGAGAAATTTACAGTAAAAAAGGGGGGGTTGTTAAGCATCTTAACAATAAAAAAGTGATTTTTCTCAAACAAATTTGATCTCACCATACTAATTTTCATTATTTGAGCATTGTATCGTTAAAAATCGAAATTTATGTTTTCTCCCGTAGCAATAAATTTTAATATTTTCTAAATTCAACAGTAAAAACCAACCGGTGGAATGTAACGATTTTAAATTGGCTCACTACTTGACTATTGGTCCCAAGCAAATCGATTAACGTACACTAATCCAGTCGAAATGTTCGAAATCGAAAGTTTGACAGATAAAATGAGGGGCTCGTGGATTTTCCTATGTTTCGAGGGGTGCATCGATTAGCTTGGGACCGAAGATAGTACCAGAGCTGAGCCAAAAAGTTGAGCACGTTTCTTCAGGACCTTCTGGTCTTATAGTTACCTCTATGGTAAAAACCATTGTAATTTCGTTGTTTTAGAATAATATTTTTAAACACGCAACAAGCACATACTTTGCTCAATCATTATGCTAGTTGATGATTTTGTCTCTTGTATTACTTTTTAGTGTAAAATAAAATCTAAAGCCTGATTACTTTTTAAGCCAACCGATGTATAATCAACGTTTATACCTGAAATGTATCAAATTTAATCATTCTTGGAATAATATTATTTTGAGTGCATTCTTGTTTAAATTCTGGTACTACACTAGGTTTGTTTTGATTCGCTATGAAAGTTTGACAGATACAATGAGGGGCTCGTGGATTTTCCTATGTAATTTGCAATTACCTCAAAACCCCTAAAGAACCCAATTTCATTATATGATCGGTAAAGTTGAAAACCGAAATAACCCACTAGTGACAATTTTACGAGCAATTGATCATTTTGTCAAGCTTCTGCATTCATGTTCCATCAGATGTCACAGCTGTTGTTTGTGGTGACATCTATCGGAAACTACACACGATCTGTTTTCCTATAATTGTTCACAGAGGACACTGCAGTGCAAAACATGTCTGGTACCTCTATATATGCATTTAGATTATTATTCGAAGTCCCTCCTTTTTTACACATTCTGCACACAAAATAGCTCACCCCTCACAGAATTTCCCGCCGAATTTTATGTATGGGGCGGGGCATGAAGTATCTTTTGCGCAGAATATGTAAAAAAGGAGGGACTTCAAATGATAAAGCAAATGCATATATAGAGATACCAGACATGTTTTGTAGTGTCAGGTACTCTATTTTGTAATCTGTGAAAGGGAAATCACAAATCGAGTGTCAACTAAATACATGGCATGTTGAGAGATTGAGCTCGTGAGAGAGAATTTCTCTCTCAAATTTGAATTTTCGTGGCTCTCTGGGGACTGGTAGTAAAGTGGGTAAAATTGTATGGGGAAAAATCATTTTTAATTAATTGTAGCTTGATTAACTATAATTTCCGGGAAAAAACTGAACGACAAAGTCCCTGATTAATTTCTTTAGGTTGTCGTTCACTTTTTTTCACCTGAATATGCACCGAAAGCGAATTATTCCCACTTCTCTCAATTTCTATATGGGGATTTTTATCACTTCCTACCAGGGGAACAGCGCCATCTCTGTGGAAAATGGTCGAACAAAATGATTAATTTTACTCGTTCTGTACGTTGAACATAGTGTTGGAAGTAGTGCGCTGTAATCGCACAATGATACGCTATGAAACGCACTACTTACGACACTTATGGCGGTAAGCTCCAACTCGGATTAACTTTTAATACCGTCCCTGTTTGTATGATCTGAAAAATGTTTGCTCAGAATTATGTTGATTAACTCTGATGTCGACATCAAACCAGCCGGACATTCTTGATCGGGATTTAATCCGAGGATAATACCGGTTGGAGCTTACCACCATTAGTGGGTTATTCCGATTTTCAACTGTACCGATCATATAATGAAATTGGGTTCTTGAGGTCGTATGCTTGACTTTTCCCGTAAGAATAGCACGGGAAAGTAAAGTAAACTCTTTTTATTCATACGATCATACGGCCCAATATATGAAAATTTCTGTGTAAACAATTTTAACACCTCTCTAGCATTTCTACAAACCTTGGTTTTATCCGATGTTGTAGTGTAGACAATGCTGAACTTAAAATTGTTCCCAGTTTTATAATTTTAGACTACGCCCCTGTTTGCATTATAGTCGCTATAGCGACTATAGTTTGCATTGCATCTTCGAAAGGTCAGTTTTCTTTCGCGCAGATTATTTTTGGCGTTTGAAGATTGTTCGTTCAGTGCAGTGGTGATAGTTTTTCCAACAGAAAATTCTATAGCTTTCTAGTTGTGTGCATTTTTTGGTGTTGTCCCCTCGCCAAACGGATTACTTTTTGTGACCATTTCGGTAGTTCAACAAGTTTTGTGAAGGATTTCAACAGGAATAGAATAACCCAAACACCATGGACGACGGCCGAGAAGAGGTAAGCGTTCACTTAAATTTTCTCACTCCGCTTGAAGTTCGAAGGTTTGGTTTGCTTACCACCAGCTGACGTCGATTTTTTTTTGTACATTCCTTAATCGGCCTATGATAGACAAGAGAGGGACTGGGAATCTTGAAGCTTGCGTCATTTTATAATCATTATTCATTCCGGTAGGTAGAGGCGGTGAAGGAGACAATCTTCATGTAAATTTCGTCGCCTACTTGAGATCATCATCCCCTCGCTATGATCTCAAAATGTAAATAAATTGCAGAAAAATTAGCTGAAGCGTTTCGTGAACGACAAAAAATGTCTTCTTGGTACCTAGAAGGATTGCAAAATCAGACATGAGCTATATGAGAGCGAGAGAAGCGCTTGTTTTGGTTGTGGGAAGAATATTTTTCGGCGTAAGAAACTGTGTCGTCGTAGGTATCTGCCTATAAAGGCAAAGGCCCTGGCAAATAAAATTCGTAAACATCACCCTCGCTACCGAGCGAAACATTTGATCGATGGTAACGATTAATTTCAAGGGGAAAACATGTCCACTTTTCTGTTGTTGATCGATACAGAGGGGTGCAGTGAAAATCGAGTCCAACCAACTTTTAGCGGATCATTTTCCTGTACCTAATCATTAATCCATCAAGGTCAAGTTCACGACTTTTCCGTGTTTTGAATGATTCATGGCAGTTCAATTTGACAAGGATAACATTATAATCCATTTGGATTTATTCTTGTTTGACTTGTAGCACGGGTCACGTTGAAGTTATAGACTGTTCCAGAAATTATGAGTACACTTAAAGTAAACTGAAGTGATTTTAATATTTTTATTCAATAAAAGACAACAGCGTTCACATTCTTACCTCGTTTACTCCAAATATTTATTTGTCTACGAGTAGTTCCTCATCCACCCGTACCGAACCCGATGCATACCGCTTGTA